ATTTTTAAATTTTTAATTAAAATAAAATTTTGACTAATCTAACAACCTAACAAAAATGATAGTCGCCATAATCAGAACCCTCTCTCTGTCTCTACACTCTATTATTATGTCTGTTTTTAGAACGTATGAATTTTGTTTTTGTTTTTGTTTTTGTTTTTGTTTCTTTTTTGGAGTAAGAATGAAGATACCTAAAAAGAGAAAGGATTTTTTTTTGGCCAATTAGTAAAAGAAAAAGGGGTGATGTTTTCATTTATATATTTCAAATTTGGATAAAATAATAATAAAGAATTTCCATGTAATTTTCACTGTAGCATTCACGTAAGTTGGCCTGATCTTTTCAATGATTCTGACTTTCAATATTTTTCTCCCTTTTTTCTTATTGAAATATCTGAAAATGATGTGGTTTTGGTCCACCCAACAATACCATACATGGCATTTAATTTTCTACTTTATTAATGATTAAAAAACATTTTAATCTTACACCTAAACCTTCAGGTCAAATGGCCTTCGGACTACTTTAAAGGTGCACTCTCCCTCCCCATGGTGGGTTCGAACCCACCCTTACTAGCTTGTTCAAAAAAAAATATGTTTTAATCTTTGCTTATATTATATCCCCTGATAATTTCAGGATTAAAAGTGAGAGTGGTCCTGCAAATTCCTAGTCCAGAAATGAAAACTAGGTCATTTCCAGCGTGTTAAGGTCAAATTAACTACCTGATTGAAAATCTTACTTGGGAATAGTATCCAAATAATCTTAATTGTGGTTTTTTTCATATATAAAACAGCTTGTACCACTAAGGTGGAAGTGTTGATATCCCTGATGTTTTAGGTAATTCTGTTGTGTTGTGCGATTGATTTATACTATGAGTTGGTGCTGTATTGATTTGTCATAATGTGCAAATATAATAGTTATAAGAGTTTTTGTTTCAACTGTAAAATAAAAAATTATTGAATAAAAAAATAGTTCATGATATTAAAAAACATAACATATTTAATAATTTAAATTGTGTAATAAAAAAAAAATACTAATACTCCAAGTTGAGTTTAATCATAAAGGTAAAAGATGATGACATAAATAAAAAAAAGTTGGAGTGTTATGATTAATTTTTTTAATATAGTGATTGGAGAATATGAACTTGCTTTCTCTCAAAGAAAGCATAAATTACAAAAACATGTGATAATTGATTTCTATTTAAATTAATACTGGTATTATCAAGTTACAAAAGTTATGTAAAACAATGTCATCTTTTTAGACAATTAGACGCAAGATAATAATTTGTCTTTTTTAAAGTAAAGACTTCCTGATGGGATCAGGTTTACCAGTCCCGCTAGTCTGGACTGGCAAACAGTTTTTCCATTAAAAAAGGAAAAAAAAAAAAACCCCAAAAAATGAATCAATGTTAGGTACAATTAATAATTTACATGTGTCCATTAGAAACAAGACAAGTGCATTGAGCTATGGAAGAAGGAACAATAGTGCAATTAGGTTAGGATATGTCATTCTTCTCCTTCTTTTTCATCTCCATGCAAATTGTCTCCCTCTGCATCTCTCCAATCATTCTCTAGGATTAGGATTTTAGCAAAACTCCATTTCCCAGAAGCTACAAACTTCATACCTTGATGTTGGTTTAGAATCGATGCATTATTTATTTATTTTTTTTTTTTTTTCCCATGAAAGCGATCGTATTGCACTGAAATTCTTGGGTTTTCAATATAAGATTGGAATCCAAAGTTGCTGATAAGATTTCTTGATCCAACTACAGCAAGGATGGGTCCAACTCCAAGGATGCAAACATAAATACACGAGCTTTGGAGTTTCTATCGTCTAGTACTGGTAGAACGAATATTTCTACTATCATGGTGGAGAAAGGGAAACAAAAGGGCCCTTTTTTTGAATAAGATTAAATGATATTTATGTTTTGTGTCTAATCTGCCCAGATGGAGGTATGCACACCTTCACATATTCTTTGACCCTTTGCACTTTGGCTAGAATTTTGTGACATTTTCTTTTGGGCTATATTCAAATGTGTTATCTGTTCGGTTGTTTAAATTAGATTAAATGTCATCTTTAATTTTTAAATTTTTAATTTTAAACAATTTTAATATTTGAACTATTTTCTACATTTTTTTCGTCTATCAACCATGAAAAATGTAATTTTTTTAAATCCTTCTATCCATCCATTAAATCAATTTAATTGACATTTTCTTTAAAAAATTTCTTTAATAACCTAAATGTGCATAAAACAAAGATTCAGAAACTAAAAATATACAACAAATATTAACTCATGACCCTAAGACGTGTATAAAATAAAAGTTTAGGAAAAAAAATGTCAAATTTATAAATTTAACCCAAAAAAATGATAAAACAAGTGAAAAAATTATATTTTTCATAGTTAAATAAGTATAAAAAATAATTAAAAAACTAAAATTATTCACAATTAAAAGTTAAAAAATTAAAATTGATATTTAACTTTGAAATTAAGTTCTCTTTTTTAACATGGTAAATTTGGACTCTATCAGCGGACTGTGGGGTTTCGACTTTAAATTAAAACCGAGGAAACATTTAGTCTAAATAATGTCATCATCATGCTTCATAATAAAACTTCAGCTGTAGAGGATTTTCATTAAAGATCAAAATCAATGACAAACTCTTTATAAACCTCGGTGGTTGTAAAGCCGAAAAAAAAAAAAGAAAAAAAGAATTAGGTATTAAGATCAGAGGGCAAGTACTACTGCAACTGCCCACTAATAATAAATTGCAGAATAAAAGAAAAATGGAATCGTTTAAGAGCAATGCTAGGGGCACTCGCCTCCTGCACTCTCCGGCCAACACTTTCCCTTTTATTGGGCCACGTTGTTTTGGTTCCGAAGAGGTTGGGCCTGAAAGGTATAGGGAAGCTTACGTGGCCCAATGAAAGGGAAAGTGTTGGCCGGAGAGTGCAAAAAGCGAGTGCCCGTAGCACTGTTCATCGTTTAAAGAGAACGGAATAGCAGATTTGTTGGGCTCTGTATTAAAAGAAAAATTCTGGTATACCGCGAGAAACCGCCGATATAATTTCCCGATCAATTACAGTATGCCATGTCATCACTTTTATTGTTAACTGAGCTGATATAACTAATGAGGTGAAAAGCTTTTGAAGATGTGACACAATAATTGATCAAGATATTACGTCAGTAGTATTCCCGAGATACACCCGACTTTCTCATGTTAAAGAATTGGGCTGGTTATTTTGAAGTTTGGCCCACGATAAATTGCAACTGGATTACCAACCATTCCCAATACCCATTACCCAAAATACCGTGATTGAGAAAACAAGTTAAACCAAAGAAATTACCCACAAAATCAGACAAAAATAGAGTAACCACACCATAAAATTAATCACCATATGACTAGACCAGAAAAATAATCACCATATGACTAGATTGTACTAATTAAACTAAAGCTAGAACATTAGGAAAGGTATCCACATGGTGGGGTAGTTGCAAGCTGCAAGGTCATTAGTTGAATTTAGACAAACAAGCTAAAGACTTAATGACCATAACAACAGTCTTGAGCAGACAGATTTCTGAACAGCCTATGTCATAGCAAAATTGAACAAGCTGACCAAATGTTGTCCCCTGCGTGTAGCCTCAAATCTGTCCAGTTCCAAGAGGCTGCCTTGAGGTGTCACCGGAGGCCCATGCTTGATAGTCTTTCTTAAGCTGAACAACAACGAATTCAAAATGAATATTCTAGCATCCAGACAGAAACTATGTCATAACATTATTCAAAAAGAATCCAGAAAACAAGTTAAAGTCCACTCATGATTTAAGTTTGTTTCAAGTGCAAAATCAGAAAAATTGAAATGACAGTTAAGAAGCAGAAAGTAGCACAGAGGTGATAGGTACTTTCCCGTCATCTTATTATTCACAAAATCAGCATTTAAAGCCTCCGCTCTTAAATCACAATGACCTTATTGTTCTATCTGTGACACTGCCCCTCAATATCTACTTCACTTTCTCTCCCTCCAAAGAGAAAAAGGAGACAGAAATAAAAGAACAAGAAGCAAATTTCCTGAGGAAAGGATATCAGGCAGATAACATATCTAGCAGGCCATGATGTTTTAGCAGGATAGAGTTTGACTTTTACATATAAAAAGCAAGGCAATGCATTTCTAATTTTATGAGCACAAACATGATCAAAAGACATAAGAGATATACCATGCATAAAATGAGGGACAAATGGCAGGAGCCAACTGAAAGGTTCAAAACTAACTACAAGGAAGCATACCAAAGGAGCAACTAACAAGGCTGTTTAATCAGTTATAAAAAGGGAAGTAAATTATATGGGATTCATGTTTTACAATATGGATTATCAATTAAAAAGTGCAGTCCACAATATGAATCTACTAAAATACCCTTGATAAAATAAGATAAAAATTAGTTCCATTATGAGTATTTTAGTAAATTCATAAGGTGGACTGTATTTTTACTGTACAATCTGCCCTATACAACACTTTTTCAAAATTATATTTATCCAAACCTGTGCCATGAAGCGGGGAAGCATTAGCCTTAGTATCTGCTCAAGGACTTGTGTCCCAGTTGATTCTATCAAACCCAATGGAATTGGTAAAAAAGAAGGAACCTCAATGCCAACCTAGATTACACAGAACCAGACCACAGATTAGATGAAGATGAAGCAACAAGCGGCCTTCTATAAAATATTACTCTAAACCTAAAAGGATTATCTTGCAAGAACTACCTCAATGACTGCATTTGAAGTTAGTTCTTGAATTGCTGAGTTGCTTGTGTTGGTATCATAAGATATTTGGTTCACCATAGAAGCTGCATTCCCATATCAAATCAGTGTCAAACCACTCCTGTAAAAAGCATTCCATCTTCATTTTAGATCTAATTGTTATGAACTTATTACATTTTTTTCTATTTGAAGGAAAAAAAAAGTATAACCATTTCAAAAATCTTTTTCTTTCTTTGTCAAACTCAACATGATTGATTCCACAGACAGAGAACCCACACCCTTTAAAGTATTTTTTCCAATTTATGACTGTAGATAACAATGAGCTAGATGGTGTCTATTCAAATTAGGAGCTGCCCGAAACAAGCTCATTGCAGATGCCCAAGTATAAAAATATCACCTAATAGTTTGTGTTTGAATGATCATCTGTGTAAGTATACAAACTATATGATCAAGAAACTATAATGATGTTATCAAAGTAACAACCCATGCTCTCTTTAGTGGAAAAGGCTGAAGAAAAATGTCTTACCGTCAAACTTGTCATTCTGCTGAACCACAATCGGAGAACCCTCAAGCTACAAACAGCAGCAGGCGAAACATCAGTATATAACAGGATTTTCCCATTAGTATCCTACAAACCCCACTATCTAGCATATATTTCCTCCTAGTCCAAATTCAAATAAATCAAGTGAGTCTATTAGCACGAGGAACTGAAAACAGTTTAAATACTTCAATTTGTAATGTTCCAGGGAACAACAGCTCAACAAATCAAAGAAATTAAACTTAAATCACCTTGCAAGACAGGAGCTTAATGGTGCACCCGTTGGGCTGCACTTCAACTCTAACGAGCAAAACAGGGCAAACCTCAAAATTAAAGAACTTAATCCTATACACATAACATCTGAAGGTGTTGTCATCTACCCTCTCTATCCTCTCCGCATCCAGCACTGAGTACTGGCTTGCAGGCAAGCTCATATACTCACCTGCAATTGATATAATACAATTAAATCTTCAATAAAGCAAGCACCAAACCATTAGGGTGAAAAAACCCCAAGATTATAAGTATATAAGCTTCTGGCATTACTTAGAGGGCGTTCTAGTTGCCGAACTGAAACGGACTCTTTGCGCCGGGCAATAAAACGCGTTCTGGGGACTGAGTCAGCAGAAACGCGAAATGACGGCCTTGGCAGCGCATCGGCCGATGAAGATTGGCTGAATAGAAGGTGTTTGATGGAAAGCAAATTCGAATTTCTAGGGTTTTTGGAAGGGAAGGAAATGGAACTTAACCTTACTGAAGCAAAAGATGAAGAACCCAGAGCCATCAGAACCCCAATGAAGGCTCAATGCGTGAGTGGATGAATGGCTTTCAGATTGTATCCGCAGGATACCAGTAATGTAACAATTGATTTGTGATAAGACCACGCAGCAGAGCACTACCAGTTGGTGTAAGGTCACAACAGCGCACGTTAGACCCACGTGCTTCCATATCAAATGAGACAAAACATTCGAAGGGAAAAAATAAAAATAAAAATCAGCCAAGAATTACAGAAACAGAGAAAATTTAGTACTGATAGCGAAGTTTTCTCTACTTAATGCAGTAAAGAAGGTAAATCTTTACAACAAGAAGCGCTCATAAACCACAAATTCCACAACAAATTCATTCTAAGAGCTAGTGAATTTCGTTACGGCCTTGGTGCCCTCGGAGACGGCGTGCTTGGCGAGCTCGCCAGGCAACACTAATCGGACAGCAGTCTGGATCTCCCTCGAGGTGATGGTAGGCTTCTTGTTGTACCTGGCCAATCTAGACGCCTCTTGAGCGAGCTTCTCGAAGATGTCGTTGATGAAGCTGTTCATGATCCCCATGGCCTTGCTCGAGATTCCGATGTCAGGATGCACCTGCTTCAGCACCTTGAAGATGTAAATCTTGTACGTCTCCACGTTCTTCTTCGCCCTCCTCTTCTTCTTGTCGGTTGATGCGCCATCTTTCGGAAGCTTCTTCTCTGCCCTAGGCTTCTTCTCGGCAGGGGCTTTCTCGGCCGCCGGCTTCTTCTCAGCTGGCTTCTTCTCCGCCTTCGGTGCCATTGCTAGGAGAGTAACGGAAACTGAAACGAATCAATAAGAGGGAAATAGAACTGCAGATGTGATAATTTCAAGTGGCGAACTTTGTTTATATACAAGGAGGGGGTAAGATCTGATTGGTTGCTTTAGATGGACGCGGATTGATGACGTGGATAGTTGGATCTTTGAGGAATGAAAAATGGACGGCCGTGATTAGGCACTAACTTTATTAGACATTAGATTTTCCCGGCACTATTCCATTTGGCGTGATTTTAGAATTTCCTCGACTTTTGAATCTCGCGGCTTCCTTTTAGCAAAATAGCTGAGAGGCTGGGCTTACATGCAGGCTCGGGCGGATGGATTTGTCTTAAGTTGAAGGGGTGTGGGCCAAGCCCGTTGTCTAGTGAAATTTACCGTCTCTCTTCTTTTTTGCCTACATTTATCCTTTTCTTTGTCCTTTTTGGGTAGTCACAGGACCCTTACTATTGTCAAGAGAATTTTTGCCATTATAATAGTGTGATCATGATTTCCATAGCAAAATAACTATATGTAATCATGACTATATTACACACAACCTTATCTTTACAAAAGAGTTTCATAATCAAATTGACAAATCAATAATAAGAATTTCATAATCACATTTGAATTCTCTTTATTTTTATATATCTATTCACGTAACTAACTCTGTATATAATTTTAGACAATATTTTTAATATAAAATATGAATAATAATTAATTTTTTTGTAATATATTGTATTTATTGACGAATTTTATTTGATCAGACAATAGAGAAAGTATAATAAAGACATTTATATAAAACTTTTCACTAATAGTATGATTGTGTTGAAGGAAATAGATATAAATTTTTTTAAACTAATTAAATTATAATATTTTTTAATATTATAATTTAATTAATTAAAAAAA